ACACCAATGGATCCTCTCTATCTAATGTTGCCCTATTTGGTCAAAGTGGGCAAAGAGGTAAGAAACAGAAATCTGTATAAATGTGTGTATATACGACTCATTTTGAAATTGTCAGAAGGTGTTAACGCTGGTGATTTGATATGACATTAGTGCATTTACTTTACCAGAATCAAGGATCCGCTACAAAATTGAATGGGTCTCTGCATTGGCCGAAGCTACATCCTTATCAAAATCGGGCTGTAGTGTTTCTGTAATTCTGCTGACAAACAAACAAACAAACCACCAAACAGAGAACGTAACCAGCTTAATAGAAGTAATAATTACAGGGGTGGCCCTCACAACATATTAATTGACAGTAGAGGATAAATAGAGGGCCCCTGATATGACTTAAGCATTGTATAAATGATAGTAAATAAGTTCAGTAATTGAAATGTTGTAACTTACTCCTCACATATGAAGGACGTTTAATGATCTTTTCCCTCTGCTCAGGGGAAGTTCCAGCCCTTGGTTCAGGTCGTTATGGACGAGGACTTCCCGGCCTGTCCGAGGCTGCTGAGCTGCACACGTGCCCTGTCCTCCCTGCACCACATTGCAGAGGAAAAAGGTGAAGTTTATAATATAATGTTCCTCAGCTATTATACTGATTGCATTGTTTAAATATTGTGTTTCATAATTCCAGAGGTGGGAGGAGTCAAGTTTCATCGCTACAGTCAAGAGAAGACGATGAATTGGTTGAAGAAAAAGGTAAAAACTCACCTTATTTTTAGATGAACCATTTTTGTTCAGTCATTAGAGAGCAAGTTGTTTTTACTTCAATGCTACTCAAAAATATCAGAACAAATGTGCATGTAAAAAAGCACGGTTAGTTTTACAAAGCAGAATTTCATACCATTTTCTTTACTTTTTTTTTGTTTGTAGGTGGAGAGGACAGTCACTGTGCTCAAAGCGAGAAATATATCTGTGGGAGAAGGAGTCAAATCCACAACCTACATCAGAGTGAAGTCCGAGTCAGACTACCATCCAGGTGAGTCACTTTTACTTCACACCACTTCCCTATTACGTCCCATCTCAACACTGTGGGAAACTCCCGTCTCACCTTCCTATGAAAATAGAAGCAGGACATGATGTTGACCAATAGATGGCAGTGATATTGCACCGTTTACATCTAAGGGTTATAAACCTCAAACAGCATTTTCCCCACCACTAAAGTATTGTTGATTACTGTCAATGTGTTTGATACAGAGGACTTCCTACGCTACGCTCATGGCATCCTATCAGAGTACCTCAGTGAAGACCTCAGCAAAGCCCTCCTCAAACACCTGCAGTAAGTTCAGACATCTATTACACTTATAATCTTAATTATTAACAGGGGTGATCAAGCCTGCCTTTTTCTACTCCACAGGTTACCAGAGCTCACAAGCCCAAAGGAGCCAGAACCTCCTTCCAAGGTATGTTAGCGGCTCTCTAAGAAGTGTAACGTTAATATAGCTGTTATATACTCTTTCTGCATGCTTTAAACTCAGTGTATTCTTTCTGTAGTGCTCCACCTCACTAACATTGTGGCATTGTGTGTTCTAACCCGTGCTGTACGGTGCTTAGTGGGTGTTCTCTTAATAAATGGTTGCTCTTTGTCATGAAAAGCTTGTCTTACTTCCTCCTTCTGCAGAAGCGGAAACTTTCTGAATTACCTGTGGAGGCTGAAGAGGACTACACTAAATTCAACAGTGCAGACTTTGCGCGGAAAGTGAGTTTATACAGAGCTGCCTGAATAGACCAAACAATCAATGAAGGAACCTGAGGCATTGATCACTTGCTTTGACTATATCATAATAACTTATGGGCTTATCTTTGCTTTCATCTCTGCAGTGTCGAGTTAAAAACCTTGAGTGATTGTTAGCATAGCTCTTGTTTGTTGAAGGTTTGCTTTGAGCTTTGTGTGTAGTACATATGGGTTGAACTGGCTTACCTTGCGGCGACATGTTTTTCTTAGCTTCTATAGAAGTAAATGATGTGTGATTAATTCCCTACTGTGTCTCTGCAGAGGTGTTGTATGGTATTGATCTTTTTTGCCCTTTAATCCAGCCGCCAAAGAAGATGACTGCAGCTCAGAAATCTCTGGCGAAAGTGGACAAAACTGGCATGAAGTCGATGTCCTCCTTCTTCAGCCCCAAAGTCAAAGCCGAAAAGAAGTGAATGTTATTTAGTTCCTGGTTTTGTATATGAATCATTTGTAATAAAGAAAAGAAAATGTATTGGACATATGCTCTTCATTTCGATTCATGGTTTGAATGAGAATTAAAAAGGAATATTTGCATGTAAATTAGCATTTTAACCTCATTGTTTGTATTTATATACAACTTTACAGTACACATTTGAGCAACTTGTTATACTTCTACCTCTTAAGATATAAACTGTTGTACCCAGTGGCGAGCCGTGGCTTTTATACCTAGGCCCTCTGATGATCCGATTTAGATTTATGATAGACATGTGGATATTATCAGGCTGAACAAAACGTGCATTCATCTAACAGGTTCGTTTTCCACAGACCTTATTTCCAGCTATTTTCCAAAACCCTATGGAGAAATCCCATTGCTTTTTTTCTCGAGGGAATCCGAGCGCAGCTTATTTCCGGGTTTTAGGACGCGTCACTGCACCACTTGCATAGACTTCACAGCGGGCGGAACTTGTCATGAAGTCCGCGAAAATAAAGCCCACCCATTTAGAGGGAAGATATGATTGGTCAATTGTACTGTCATTTGACATTACTCTCTTGTTGAGTTACTATAGCGGGCCCTCTGTGAATCTACAGAGGGACCAACAAGCTCTCCCGTCTTCACATAACTCGCAGAGACGGCATGTAACCCTTCACATTCCAACAGAAACTGAACAGGCAGATTCAAAGGATTTATTTCTTTGGAAATGTTATTTTAAATACAATTAAATCAAGTTATTTAGGTAAAACTAATGAAATATAAAAAATAATATTTAAAAGAAATTTTTTTTTTTTAATGTTTTCAAATATTATTTTTTAGAATATCTTAGGCCCTCACAGAGGGCTTAGAGGGCCCTGACGGCTCGCCACTGGTTGTACCCTTTTCTCCAGTAAATGTATTTCTTTAGTTACTAGTAACTTGATATCAGCTTTAACAAATCACTCCCATGCTGGGCAAATACATCCAGAAATACCATCATTGCACATTACAAAAATGTAACTTTTTTTCTTATTGGGTGAATTGACCCTTTACAGTCAAAGTCAGCTTTATTGTCAACATTTCTACATGTGGTATACATACAGAAATCTTGAAATACCGTTTCTCGCAGTCCATTTTAACTTCAGGAAACGAACAGAATAACCTTAGCTGGTTTTGAACTTTTTCAGTCATTGCAGCCTTGGGACTCGCCTTACAAATCCAATCGTCTCTCAGACTTTTCGTGCAGGAGAGAAACATGTTTACCTTTCAGCCGGCTTGAAGGACATTGTTGCAATTTACCTCTGGCTTTGATTCCTCAATTCAATGGGAGTCTCTGCAGGGCCAAACCATGAAATGTACTAGACCTAAACTCCATACAGTACCATCACGCTATTATATTTCCTTTTTCCTATTTAATTCAGTTTAAAGGACATTTGAACAATGCTACTGATGCATGGGTTGAAGGCAGGCGTATTGTGAGATGTCTTTAAAGAAGTCTCATTTATAGTGGCATATAATTGATACATATAAATCACATAATAAATGTTATATTAATCTGCTAAGGTTTAAAGCCCTGAAACAAACAACACTTTATTGGCTTTTCACAGAAGATGTATTGACATGTCAGAACTGGAAGGAAACCAGAGAAGGTCGTTTCTGAAGACCCTGCAGCGTGAATAGTGGATGTTGAAAAGCAGACACTAAACTGGATTGCTGGCTTTTATAATAGAAAAATACCAATACTGTGTGAAAGATGTTAAACATTGTAAGGTATAAATGGAGTTTCTTGCTGAAAGTGTGAATATGTAGACAAGACTTCATGAATTTGAATATTTCCAAGTCCTGTATGTTTCAGCTTTTCAAATAATTGCATCAAATTAAGCTGAAGCGTACTTTTTTGAACTGCTTCTCAGTACAAATATTACTAAACCAAGAGAGAAAAGACTTTGCCGAGTGCATTGATGTAGATTTTATGTGAGAATGGGAGCAGTTAAATAAACATTGTCTGCTTTCTTCCAGAAACATCCTGTCTCAGTTATTATTGGGGTCTGTGCTGCAGCTCCTTGTTTCTCCTATCACTTTCAGGCTCGGTGCCAGATGTAGAAGTCTGTCTGCATCAAATGCTACATTGTATTAAAGAGCACACATTTTTCCTACTTTTTGTATCCTAAATTATGTTCTAAAAATGTTTAAATAACACAACATTTTATAAGATTTTCTTTTTATTGTCATGCGCTTTTGGAATGTTTTGATGTTGGAAGGAAATTTGTAAGCTGAATATTTGAAACATGTTTAGTGCCAGTAAAGATAACGTGAGAATAATAATTAAGAATTGAAAGAACAAAGATAGTGAATAGAGGTGGCTGCCTGTAGCTGATGATGGACTTCTGCTGATAGCGGCTGAATTCATGCTCCTAGTTTTGGGGTAATGATATTGTGCATGCTGGTTCTTCGTAACAGTATCAAGGCTTACTGGCAACCTTGAATACAACGGAGAAATGGTTCATGTTCTCAGTGCAGGCCATTGTCAAGTCAAAAATGTCTGAGGGTAAAAAAAAGGCAGTATGTTGTTGGCTTGACCGATATCTTTTTTTTACAATTTGCTTTATTAAAATTATTTTGAGGACATATTACGCTAATTTCAGGTTCATATTTGTATTTTGTACCTTGAGTGTTACATAGAGATGTCACAATGGAGGTATTTCAGAGTGTGCAGGATTTTAGCCTTTGCAGACCATTTACATGCACACAAATCTATATAACTAAAGGAAAGGGAAAACCCCAAAAAGCACTATGGGGCCTCTTTAATTGTCCGGATGGAGTTTGAGCAGAGCATAGTGCAGGTCCATACAAACTGGGTTGAGCTCTTCGTCAGCAGAGTGGCAGTGCCGGTGGTTTCGAATGTCCATCAAGCTTCACTGCTTTTTTAATTTGGGTTTGAAGCGCAGAGTCTGGAATGCGCTCTCCACCACTTTGGGCAGATGGATCGGGTTCCTCTGCAGCCGCAGTCTGCTGCTGGTCGACCCGCTCTTGTTTTTCTTCTTAGAGACACTTTCCTTGGCACACACGTGAACTTCCTTCTGCTTGGAGTCATCCGCGACCCGAGGAACCCGTAGGACCCAGTTGGAGTGGAGGTCGTGTTCGGCAGAGCTGGAGGCCACTGTGGGAGAGAGCAGAGCCGACGGCAAGCACATTAGTTGAAGCTGAGGGCAGTCGTTTTGTGACCAGAAGCTTTCTTTACTGGACATTAAGAATCTGAACCATTTGAACTCAGCAGCAGCCGTTTGTATCGGATTAATTTGTTGATGTATAGATTACCATCTGGAAAGATTATTTTACAAATGATGTCATGCTATCTCAATCTTTAACACACTACATGTCATTTTTGTTGCCATTATGGGTTAAAATAAGTAGGAGTTTGTCGGTGTTGTGAAGTAGTGTGGGATCATGGGAGATGACATCCTTTGTTGTCATTGCAGTCATATTCATGGTTAGGATTCTTTTGGCCTTCAATTTTCAGGTTTTTAACCCCTCTACAGAAATATTCAAAAGATCTCCTCCTCTACAAACCAATGCACACGGTTAGTAAAACGGGTGGAAACAATGAACCATATCGTTTTATGTAAATAATCTATGTTTCCCCAGTGGAAAAAGGACAGAGGGACAGCTACGTTTCCTCTGCTTGTTTCCCTGATAACTTCAAATCTAGACGTCCGACAACTAAACCCCTAATGTAGGTAAAATATAGTTAAAACAACAAAGACCTAAATATATACCATGACACACACTATGCGGCTGTGAGGTGGTGCGGTCGAAAGGGTTGTTGGTTTGATTCCAGGTCCTGCAGTCAACTAAACCCCAAATTGGTGTGTAAATGTTAGCTTAGCAAATTGTGACTGCATTCATATGAAAACAACTTTTTTTAATAACTAATAGAAGATGCAAATACATCAAATATATATATAATAAAGTACAATTATTGAGCAAATATACTGATATGACATGACAACCCTGATCATCTCATTCACAGTGGTGGAAGAAATGTTTAGTGCCATTAATAAAGTAAAAGTAGGTGAATATTATATTTTGTGTGACAAGTATCCAAAGTGAAATATCCAAAGTCCTCATTAGGCATAAAAACAATCCCAGTTATCTTTGCATTTTAATTTATTGTATCATGGGCTAATTATTATGAATGCACTTTCATTCCACCATCGATTGTCTAACCCTGAATACAACCATGTTTAGTGTCCAATCTTGATTTAGTAGTAGAAGGCTTGCAGGCCCTAAACCCCAGCACCATTTCAGTTATATAAAATCTTTCCAAACTCACCTATGAAGTCCACATCTGCGTGTCCATCATCCATATACGATTTTCTCAGAGGTTCGCTGTCACAGCCGGCGATGACCGCATCAAAGAACTGCAGCGAGTCCTCCACGTTGGGGACGGGAGGCGCTGTGGGTTTGGCTCGTGATATCTGCGGGGGGGAAAAAAACAAAAACGGGAGAACATTTGTCTTTGATATTGCCTGCCATGTGCTCTGCTTTGGATGATTTAAGCTTACCGTTCCTTCCTTAGTAGGCGGAGGAGGTGCATGCTTCTTCTTGGAGGACACTGTGGCCTTGGAATCCTTACTTTTGAAGTCACTCACGCTCTTTGTGTACTGCCGTCTCAAAGCCACAAGTGCTTCCAGGTACTCCAGGCAGTTCTGATTCTGAGAGTAGAGCCAAATCCTGTCCTCTCGTCTCTGATAGTAGTACAAGGTCGACTCGATGCTCACTGTGCTTTTGCTGCGTTTCAAAGTGGAGCTCACGACTTGAGTTTTCTCTCCCACCACGAGCATGGAGGTGCTGCGGACCAGCCGGACGGTGCAGGCGCTGTGGTAGTCCTGCTCCGACCGAACCCCCCCCTCATCCCGCCCTGTGGGTCCGTGTTGGTTGGGACGAAACCCATTGTTAATCTTCCTGAACATCCCTCTAAACAAAGTATTTCAGGGTCACAGACGTGTCCCTAGGTTCCTCAGTGTTGGTGAAGCATCCATCCATATTCAGCCCCCTTAAAGCCAGACAATATGTCTCAGAGGAAACGAAACTTCACTGGAGCTCTTCACTGTTGCTGTCCAGGGTGCTGAAATGGCCAAATGGCTGCTCTCTGGTGACACAAAAGCAGGTCAGAGTTTCTGGTAGTCTTTAATGTTTTGGGGTGTTGCTCAGCGACATCGCTGTGACAACAGGTCGGTAACCCTACACTTAGTGCTGCCATTACTACAGCGCAGCCGGCCTGTGTCAGATATCCTGAGTCATACGGGACTCTGTGGGCAAAATAACAACAACCAGCAGTCTGACTGACTGAAGCTGCACCTCTTGAGGCAGTGGATGCTTCCTTAATAAAGAAGACAGCATAAAAGAAGATGCAGGCATGTTAAACTGTTCACATTCCTGGGTTTGAATTCAAATGTGATAAAGATCAGAAGACGCTGAGAGGTGAAACTCTTAAAATGCTTGTGTCTATATGAAAGATGAAATAAGAAGAGAAAATAGAAGAATCTATATCAAAATAATACATTGAGTTGTGTGAACCACTTGGATATTGTTACAAACACCAGAAGTGATATGATCTTGACTTATGTCTAGGTTTCCTCACCTGATTAATAATAAAACACGCTCTCTCTCGTGTTTCATGTGCCTCTAATGATGTCTTCCCTGCTGAAGGCAGAAGACGTCTGAATACAAGAGTCTGAACTGAAGCGAAGCGTACATGCAGACAAGGAACTGTCACTTTGGAAAAATCCCGGCACATGAATATCTAAAGCTGGAGAGTCTCCATTACGGACCAGATAACTGATTTAAAGGATAGATGATTCAAACAAAAGGAGGGGGAAAAGTGGTGAAATGAAATATCACAGAAAGGCACAATCATGTTTACGAAAGCAACAGCATTTACTTAGCTTTTAGAGTAATGGTTTCAAGGAGGAAATGAAGACATGTGGTTACCTAACAAAGCGTGAAGTCACATTTCTGCTTTTGCCTGCAGACACAGGAGTCAAGCGAGTAGCTCTAAAATGCAGTTATTCAACATAAAAGCCTCAAACAAAGTCCTCAAACAGAGATAACTCAGAGTGTGTGATGGGACTTATCAGAAAACGAAAACAGGAAGCAGCAACTGTCGACCTTTCAGTTTCCGGATAATTTGTATCATATTAAATATAACTTTCTCTTCTGGTTTTAACTTGACCTCAATCGCACACCTGTTTCTTTTTACGTAGAAACAGAACTTCTGTGGTTTCCTTTTAAAGTGTAGTTTGCATGTAGAGAATAAAACATCTGCCATTTCACTTCATGTTGCAAGAGGACAAACTGAAGCAGAGGTTGATACATATTTATTGTAAGGAGTTAAATAGATATCATTTTAAATAGTACGAACTACAGCAGGATATGCTCAGCCTGATATCAGCATGCAAAAGGAGGAGGTAGAGTATACTCAGGATTCAGCCAGCTGAAACAATAAGTGTGCAGAAATGGGAAGAAAGAAAAACATCGACCATTCCCACTTCCTCTAAGGGTGGTTTATAACAACCCATGAACGCACCGTTACTCGTGCAGACACATTGGGTAGGCTGTGCGATAGACACATGTAATGTTTATAAGAAGTTCTTTGTGACTGAGGAACAACACTTTGCACCCTGAGGTGAACGCTGACCCAGAGACGCTGATTCTGCTCCAAGGTAGGTTCTTCTTTTTAGAGGAATATGATTCATCTTTGTGATTGTTAGCTGAGGTCAGTTGCACTTTCATCAAAATCCTCCTTTGGACAGTCTTTTTTTTTCTATTTGGGAAATCAATATGTTACCTATAGCCCACCCTCAGAACTCTAAATCATTCATAGGATCATTTGACACTCAGATTGGAAATCATTCATCAAGTCATCAATGGTCTGGTGTTAGACTGTAAATGTAACGTATCTGTTTTGTGCCGTTTTATTTGTTTTTGTTGAGTTTTGTGTATTTCTTTAGCAAACTAGCTGAGGCGGTTTATTCTCGGGCGCAGAACATTAGTCCATGCTATATGTTTTTTTATGTATGATAGGGCTGGGTGATAATTCCATTTCATCTTTTTCATCCTAAATGGGATTGTATTGTGATTACATCATATATCATATGTTGATACACAATTAGAATGAATAGCACATACGAAATACATTTTTTAAGATAGTCTGATGAGACGAGATGAGAGGGGATATCATTTGGAGATGCAGGGCTGCACAAATTGGAAAAGATACCCAACTGCGAACATTTTGACTGATGTTGTCAATATAGAAGGGATACTTTCTTTGCAACATTATTGCTACAAAATATTTGTAAAAGATGAATTTGATTGAAGAGGATCTCTGCCAAAAAGATAGGTATCTGGATGTAAGCCAGGATGTCTCTGCAGCTCCACAATACCTCTTTTATAAAACATGCTATATTGATGTCATTATGAAGATATGAATGGCATATACCAGGAAGAAGATTTCGGCCATATTACCTAGCCCCAATATAAATACAAATAACAGAATGTAAATCTGCAGTATCATGGAAGATGCAGCTTACCACACACAGCAGACTGACATGCCGTGTTAATAACTCTGATTCTGAGAATGTCATGTTTTCCCCGCAGCCATGCTTTGTGAGAGCAGATTGTTGAGAATGACCTATGGCGAGCTGGAGGAGCTGGATCCTCTCCCTCCTCAGCACGCTCCCCAGAGTGTTTACGGTGTGCCGAGAGCAGCTGCGACCCTGGTGCCCGGCTCCAGCAGACACTCTCCACTCCTCCATCACAATTCCCCCGAGCTGACGGGTTGCTTGGACAACACCAGCGATCCGGTGGAGTTGTACATTTCCCCGCTGCAGTCCTTTGACGTCCTGGCAGCCCGGCCATGCAGACAGATCTCCCCGGAGATAGAGATCCCGGCTCTGGCCCGCTCACTGGGCGACGCTCCTTTCTTGGTCCCCTCCTTCTGTCAGAGCATCTGCCAAAATTACAGCGACCTCCATATTGGAGGCGACCATGTGCTGCCTCTCTCCACCAATGACGGTGAGATCCGAGTCTGTCCTAAGGCGAAGGCTGAGGGCCCTTTCCTCCACTCCTGTGATGTCCCCTCAGCTGTGGAGGACTCTCCCCCAGGACACGCATCTCAGGGTGGGCTCCTGCATCCTCTGAGGGGGGGCTCAAATCGCTGGAGACTGGGCAGTGCCCGAGATCGTAGCTTTTTGTTCCAGGGCCGTGAAGGTCCGTTCTCCAACTCTCTTCTAAATCACTACCTGGAGCAGAAACTGTTGGATTTGTACCAGCAGTACATGATGGAGAACATGGCCAGGGAAAGGGCCCCTGGTTCTGACTCAGACCCCATCCCTCTGCTGGGCTCAGAGCTGGTCCTCACCAGCCTGGACCAGATCACTCTGCAGCTGAGCCGGGAGGGGAACCTGGAGGCCGGCCTGGCCAAAGACCTGGTCCTCAGCTGCCTGCTGCGGGTGGCCGGAGACATGCATTCCAGCGAGATCAGCACCCCCTTCCTGCAGATCTCCAGTGAAGTGTCCAGGGAGCAGCTAACAGAGAACAGAGAGGAGAAACCGCAGTGAGAATTCTCCCTTTCAATATAGGTTGGTCACCAAATTAAAAGATTAAACTAACAACTTGTGTTTCTTTTCTAGTTTTTTCTTTTTTTTGATAAGCTGTGGAGAGGATGGTGTCAGATAAATCTGATCAGCAATGTTATGACAATCTAATGTGTCATCATTTAAGTTGTTTATGGGCTGGTGCATTTTTCACTTTCTAAAAAGGACAATAAAGACAGGAACTGAAAACTGAAACTGCTCTCAGCATGTTCTAAACTGCTAAGTCTTTGCATAACGATAAACATAAATGTCTCCCTATGGTTAGGGACAAGTGAAGAAGAACATGGTCTCAAGTCCTTTAGGGAACTTTATATACAAGTTTGAAAATCAACAGGTTTTCTCCATTATCTTTTATTTAAATGGAAAAAAACTCATGCTGGAAGCAGAGATTCCCTCAACCTTAAAATGTAATTTGCTTTGAGTCGCTTCACCTGGTTGTCTGACCTTCTCTGTGAATAATAATGTGAAGAGATGTGCAGAGATTGACACTAGAAAACTACATGTATTTTTGTAAAAGCATGTGGTTCAATATGCGGATGTGGAAACTTGAAACCTCCCATGCATATACCTATAAATGTAGTTTTTCAGATAAGCAGGAGGTTTCCAGTAGTCGAACTTGAAAAAAAAAAAATGGATTCTGGATTCTCAAAAAGGTTGAAATTGTATCAGTCTTAATATTCCTCTTAAAACATATGTTTGAAGGGCTCTTCAGCTACCTGTTCATATGCTAAGAGTCTTGACATCCCTGATCAGAAGATGAGAAGTAAAATAAAAATCACAGAGCAAGCCATTTTTACCGTGCACAATCAGATAGTATTAAATGCCACCATTTTGCTTATGAATACATATATTGTTGTCGTGCCTAAAGATGTATTACACATGTTGGTCATTCCCATGCTCTGCTGCCGATGATGAAATGTCATTAATGAGTCTGCAGTTTATTAAATGGGCACAAGGGGGAAGCATTATCACCTTACTTATTAACCCCGATGACTTTGACACACACCTTCTTCTCCTTTATTGTATTCCTCCTCCTCTTCACCGTCTATCCCCTCCCTCAAAACATCCATCCATCCACTAATGCTATATCATCTGCTAATCCATGATGTCATCAGGACTCAGTTGTAAATCTGAAGCACACAGGCAAATGTAACACTGTGTCTGGTACTGGTTTCTAAAGCTTGAGATAAGGTTATCTTCACCTCGTGATTTATTTTTAGGAACATATTGCACTAGCACAAATGAGAAGCTCGGCAGGGCTGCAGACCGATGCAGGGACAATGTCATTTGTTCAGGTTTCCACGTATTCAAAAAGGCTTTGAAAGACCTGCAAGTCTATTCCAGCTTCGTGCAGCCGTGGCCTTCTGAGGCAGCGTTTGATCAGCTTCCTTGTTTCCTGTCCAAACAGAGAGCCACAGGAGGAAACTGTGTTTACCGAGCCGCAGTCGGAGCCCTGTGAAGTCTCAAGGCCGACGAGACACATGTTTGGTATTTCTGCTTCTATCCGGATTGAACATTCCAGGTACATGTTAGAGGAACCGAATCCTTACAGACCTAAACAAAAACACGCTCGTTTATAAATATGATTCACCTGATGCCAAGCTCGGCATCGTGAGCGCATTCAAACAAACTGATTCCACAGACCCTGGAAAAATGAAAAACAGACGAATCTTATTCCAGCGGAGGTTAGGAATTGTTTACAGGGATGAAGGTAAAGTTACACACTGCAGTCTCTTACACACACAAGCTGCCAATATTTACCCTGAGATTCACCAAATTACACAATTTATTTACCTTTCCTTGTCAAAAGCTTAACAAATCTCCCACTGGGTGTTTTTATTTAGCTGAAAAAAGCATAAATAGAAGAGCCAAGACGTTTTTTATTTTCTGTAATTAGCAGCAGTTTTCCTCTTAGAGAAAAACTGAGGTCAAAGAATAAAAGGTTAAAGGCATGAAATGAGAGCAGGGCCAGAAAACGGATGAAACGAACTGCAGCAATTTAAAAAAAGAGAAAACACCTCACACTTCTCTCATGGTCTATAGCGATGAAACTAAAAGGGGAGGTTGAAGTGTTGGAGCGTCTTTCAAAGGTTCATAAAGTAATTTCCTTGTCACAAAGAGCTTTTAACATGGAGGGCGGTAAAGGCAAGGTTGCAAGATTTCATATCAAAACCAAGGTCCCGGATACACTCTCACCATTGTGGCTTTAATGCTCTGTAGCACTCTGTGGCTTTCCTTCATTTAAAAAGCTTTTAGTATGTAGCCTTGTTAATTGGAGCAGTCATATAGTGTTTACTTAGAACTTTTTAAATCACAAAGGAGGAAAAACATTTATCACATATTTTCAAGGCTTAAAGATAGTCGAATGCTTTGAGCTCTTTTCTGTAGTGATACAGACATACATTTTCATAAAAGGACATTTAAGCAAATAAATACGTTAGCTCATTTGATGTAAAGCTGCTATAAGTGTACACTCACTAATGCCACACATGTGGAAACATTTTAGACTACAGTTTGTATGTGGAGACGTTTAATTCAATTAGGTCCAGAAGCTGTGCTCTCACTCCTAATTTCTTCAGCGGCCTTGAGCAAATGTTTTTTTTTTTTTTTCATCCAGCGGAGTGACCTAATGTCTAAGTGGCAGCTTGCGGGAACATTTAATGACAGCCCCTGCTCTGTATCTGGCTGATTGACACCGGGACACGTAGGTGGTGGAACGGGAGAACACACATTTCCCGGTCAGTTAGCCGCTCAAGGTTGCAGCGAGCCTGCAGCGGCGAGCTTGACCTTGGCAGAGCTCAAGCAGACAGAGAAAGACCTTGAGAGACAGCAGGATCTGGCTCTCAAAGAGCTGGGGAACATAATGTAGTAATGCATGACTATATATCACAGTACACAGTGCCTGTATGTGACTGGCAACTGGATAGAAAAACACATTTGTATGCACTCGTATGTTTATTCTTCTTCACTACGGACAGGGCCATATATGCTTCTGCAAAGTGGGTTTTATATTTCCCCCCCAACAATGCTAATGCTTTCTCATGGTCCTCTTTTATCTAATGACAAAAATATTGTGGTTATTATCAGCCTGACCCCGTTTTCTGGATGACACTCATTCTCTTATCTTTTATTATTGTCTTTATCTGCTACGTCCTGATTGCATTAATCATTATGCAACACATGTCTTGGTTACAGGACATTTATGGAAGAAAAAGGAATACGTGTTCACATCCACATCACACATTTTTGTGGAGCATTATGTATTACATGTTTACAAAGTTGATGGTTATATTATACAGATCCATTTTAAATCCAGTTTGGAATCATCTCAGGAATTCATTGTCGTCAGTAACATTAGTTGTAAGCAGCAGCATCTTTGTCAGACATTTTTGGATTGAAAATCATAAAGAATGCTAAATCCATCCTTGCAAATGTGGACCATCTCGAGTAAGACATTCCGTTTTCTGAAAGTTAAAGGTCCCCTATTATACTGTTTTTCATTAATATATTATAGGTCTCAGATATATACAGAACATGTCTCTGAAGTGTTTGGCTCCAAACACCAAACAGGTCATTTCAGCTTCCCATAATCCCCTCTGTTTCAGCCCTGTTTAAAAAAAATGCTGATTCTCTGTCTGTTACTTTAGATGAAAATAAGGAGCCACTCCCCCACGCCCCTCTGAGAGAGATTTGGTTACAAAGAACACAATAGCCGCTTTCACACCAAGTACTTTGCCGCACTTAGTGCCCAGCACTTAGTACCCCCATGGCACTAAGTACAGAACGCGTTCACACCGGAATAAATTCCCTGAGGGAAGATTACGCAAATGAAGCCGCTGACGGCACTTCTTCTTCTTCTGCTTTGGCTGTGTTCGGTAGGAGGTGTTCGGACCTGTCACTGGACTTCTCCTTCCTGAGTCTCGACCTTACAACTACTACGGGTCCTTCTCGGGTACCTGACTTTTCCAAATCGGTTTACGTCTCCTAACGACTTAGCCTTCTGAACGTACAAATTTTACCCTGAAAAACCTCCTCTTCCCGAGAAAAGTAAATTGTAAAACTTAACCTGAAAACACCCCAAAACCTACCCCCACCTTAAAAATAAAAAATTACTCACCCACAACCCCCTACCATTATAAATTGAGTTGTAAGGAACAAGCAAAAGTTAATTTGTTTATTAACAAGTTATTTTTAATTAAATTTTGAACAATACAAAATGAAATCTGTTTTATTTTCCTTTTTTTTTAGAGACTTAAAGTACAAAAAACAACTTTAAAACGTAGCTTATGAAGGTCTTGAAGGGGGTCGAATTGAAAGCCTTTACAAGGGCAGGGAAACGTTGGGATACATCTTTATCAAAGGAGCCCTCCGACCGTAGAGGGAGTCCCTATTACACTCTTAAACCCTCAGTAGGCCTCCTACCTCTATCGGTGACGAGGAGTACATCTTTCCTCGGCCAACCCACCAACCCGTGGACCATTCCTACGAGAACCGACCTCCTCTGGCTCCGTCTGGTCCTTAGTCCACTCCCAAATAGAGGTGCGACGAACCCTAGGGGGTCAGTCTCGGACCTACTACACCGGCCTTCCCTTCAAACCCCGGGAGTCGACCTTGACGAGGGAGGCTGGGCTGAGGACCAATCACACCAATTGTTACTACATAACAGACTCATTTCTTTTCGAACTTGGGCAAGAGAATTTCTAGTGATAATACGGTTTTAGTGAAAAAGTAAGAAGGCATATGTATTTGACACAGGGGAGTCCATCTCTCATAAGACTTTCAAGGTCCGTTTTTCCTAAGAGAAAAACAGTGACTTAGGTAAATATATTTTGTACAGTAATCGGTAAGTGTTGGTTCCATTGGGGGGGGGGAGGAATAGTTAGGAGGATCTCGGTGGAACCGCGCAAGTGTGCCTCATGAAAAGGGGGCTGAAAAGGACAAATCAAGGCAAATCATGGGAATACAACGCAAGTGTGGTTTCTTTCTCTGGAAATCCCGGTCCCTTGAAAATGGGGCGTAAAATCCACGGACGATCTCTCCACCATGCTTTCTGATCTTTTCAATGGTTAAAGATACCGACCCGCTTAACGTTTTGGTGCGGGCATTTTGAGACTTGCAAAAACTTCGGCGGTAACATAAACGACGTAATCGGGGCGCCGTTCGACGACCTCACGACGATCTCAGGGTCCGTCGAAGATGACCCTTCGGTCAGGCGGTTGGGCCCTGAAGGCCGCACTGAAGCCCAACCGTCATTCAACAACGCAAGAG